AGGCCGATTGTGCCTCTTTGTCGCTCGTTCCGCGCTCTCGCTTGCACTTCAAGCCTTAAATGGAACGCCTCAGAGCGAGGTAACGCCGCATGAGTCATGTTTTTTCGTGCGTGCAGCCGGCTCCATCGAATTATAAGACGTTGTCACGTCAAAAAATGATGCTATATAACAGTAAGGTTAAGTGCGAGAAATGAATATAGGGAATACAAATATTGGATGAGTGGATAAATGAGAATGGAAAATATGGTAGAATTTGTGAAGAAGAGGTTGTATACACTACTGGCGAGTTTTGAACCGAACATAATAATGTCTAATAAATGCAATTAAAAACTTTTAAGCGGTATTACGCTTTGCTCAAAAGTAATTGAGAGTCCAATTTCAGCTTTCAAAGAAGCAGAAGATATTTTCAGATAGACGTGGTTGAAAGAAAAATATATGTATTTTACATGTTCATAAAATTATGCATAAAAACAAATAGTGACGACAATGAAAGCGTAGTTTCTATGTTCTTTGGGCGTTTTATCCTACTAGTAGAGAAGGAATGGAAGAATGTAGTAGATGATAGTGGTAAAGGGTTAAAAATTAGAACTATTCAACTACTGAAAGGAAACAGATTGTAATATAAAGGAATGCAAAAGAATTTATTTGTTAAGTGGGGATGCACCGAATAGTGATTTTGCAGGGTACTAGATAACCGGGTATCAGATCCAAACCAAGTACCCGACTCATCTCTAGTTTTAAGTTGTATTTAGCATACCCTTAAATGTAAGGGGGGGGTTTGACATTGAGGAGGGTGTAGAAAAAATTAATTTATATTAATTTTGTGTACTTATACATAACATATGGTTTGAACAAAGCTCATATATAATCTATTAATAATTATAATTTCCCTATTTCGTGAGACACAAAATATCGTATAAATAGCATTATTAAACAAGTTAAAATTAAATCCAGGTTTTAATATTTTTGTGCTGAAGTGATGCCCAAAATCTACCTGTACACGTTATTGATTTAATGTATTTATCAGACTCGGTCATTCATAATGATGTGACATAATTAGTCCACTGTTTCATCATAAATTCCGTTCCGGGTGTGATTTGTGATGTCAGGTGTGTAATAAAAATTTATCTTCACACTTACGTATAATATGTAGGTACAAGTAATTTTAAAATACGTTGGTACACTTAACGAATGTTTAATCGATTTTTTTTAAGACCAGATATATGGCGTATGTTAAATAAGAAGTAGTAAAAATTACTTTTTTATACCTGACATGGAATGTGAAATTTAGATACCACGTTAACTAACAGAGAACAAAAAAAGAAGAGAGCTTTCTAGAAACAATTTTGAGTTCTAAAACTAAACATAAAACTAGTAACCGTACTAAATAAATTAAGGGTAGATATAAGGTTTACGTTTACACTTATAATTGTGTATCACTTTTATTAAAACTTGCTGATGTTGAAAAATCAGAGAAAGATACACAGTATATTAAGAATAATTAATGTCGAAACAAAAAATAATTTGTTGTATAATTATACTATATATTGTTTTATCTTTTTGCAGATAAACATTTAATTCTTGAAACCGATCCGGAAAAAGGAAAGGGAGAATATGCATTTGATAACCCTGGATTTAAAGGTAAGCAAATCAAGATAAAGGCTTCTGGGGTACTTGGCAACAATTTGTTTTTCTTTTTCATTTCTTTCTAGGTACTAATTTTGGACTATTTGTTAACGTTTCTATTTAATTCTCCCAATAATGAAATATTTTTCAGATACAACCCTTGCATCGGCATTTAATGAAACAGAAAAAAATAAGACAGATTCCTTAAAAACAAAATGGAGTCATTGGTCACCATTAAGTGCTTTAACAGCAAAAAGCGAAAAACGCACGTTCTTAGACGACTCCGTAATAGGGGTAAGTAGATACTTAACAGAAACAAAAAATTAATAAACATTATATGAGAATTGAGTAATAAAATTCATCGATTCTGCATCAAAAAGTCACAAATTAAACTAGTTAGAAATTTTAGGAAAATAATATCGTGGTTAAAAAGAAAAATATTGGTTATTATATCAATTAGAACTCATTGCTACTTAATCATATAGTTCATTTCTATCCTGAGCTAATCTTCCCATTTCCCTAAAACTAGAACTTCCTACATCTTGTTTTGCGAACAGTCATCTAATCTAGGTCTACCTCTACTCCTGTTTTTGCCTCTAATATGTCTCTGACTAGACCTTTATGCCTGAGAAGGTGTCTTACCAATCTATCTCGCCTATTTTTTATTGACTTCCACAGAATCCTCTGTTCTCATATTCATTCTAATACCTCTTCATTTCTGACCTCTATATCCATAATTCCTAAATGAAAAAGTTCGCGGGCACCGTAAAATCAGCAACGAAATAAAAATTTATAAATTAATTTAACTGTACCTTAAAATTCATAAAACAAAACCTTGATTATATTAGTGCAAAATAAATTAATTCAATAAATCAGTTTGTAAAAAAGTTTTATTGTATACTAAATACCTACTTTAATTTTAATTAAAAAAAAATCATATCTTCAGTAGTTGACCTAACTTTACTGAGACAAAACTCGTACTGATCCTTCTAGGAATTAGGGCTAATAATCGGGAGCAATTTTAGTTACCGATTTGATTAAAACGACTGTCATCAAAAATCATTTAGTTATGAAATAGAACAAACGGTATGGTAAACGCCATCTGTAGTATGATGTTACATTTATTAGAATTCAATATGCTCAACAATATCCATAAAAATGCGTATCAACTTGTTGAACTGAATCCACGCCATAGCTTACAACAGCTCTGCGAACATAGTACCTCATTTTTAAAGGATTTAAAAAATGTAAATACCACCTAATAGGTCACGCATTGGTCATAATTAGTCACTTAATCCCATTAATTGGTCAGCGATAGAACTTGTTAAAATTACTTTTCAATTTTTTACGGCTTTTGAAAAATGTTACCACCTTCTATTCCACTTATATAAAAAGTAAGGAGTGTTTTCTATTAGTATTTTATCGCTGATAATTGGTCAGCTAAAATTACTAATTGGTCACTTATAATAAATTATAAAAAAAAAATAAAAAAATTGTTCAATGACAATGCGCCAGTAGTAATACTGCACCGATTCTGAGTGAAAATTCGTCATTAAACGGTCTTGCACTATTTTTCATAAAATGAACAATTTATCTACTATTCCATAAAATTTATCAAAGGAAGGATATTATTTTAGCTATAGCATACAGTTTAAATTCGTTTTATGCGAAATAAGTACTTATATAAAAAAAAAATTCACTTAAAGTATTTTGTTTTACTTTCAGAAAGATGAAATAAAAGTGGTATGTTTAAGAAGTCATGATTTTACTGGACTGGGTTTTAATATTTTTGGAAATATGCGAGACGGGATATTTATCAAAGATATCTTACATAGAGGTCCTGCATTTGAGTCCGGGAAATTAAAATCAGGTATGTGAACTCGATAATTTATTTAAAAAATTTTACGTTTACCGAATAACAGAAATTCTAAATATACTCATAAATTTCAGGAGATTGCATAAAAAGCATAACCATTAATTTCGAACACATTGTATATGAAGACGCTCTGACAATTTTAAGTTACGCAAGCCCATATGAAGTTATTATCGAAGCTCAAGGTGAAAAAAGAGGTTTCAACCCTACGGGACAAGTTGGCCAACCACGCCATCCCTTATTCCGTAGCTCATCTAATACGGATCTTGTTCAGGTAATATCTTATTTAGATTATTTAAGTTCATTACCAATGAAGTAATGATTTTTACCATTGAGTGAGAGTAATACTGATCGTAGCTGATTTTAAGAAGTTTAGATATCATTGAGCTAAATTGTGTCTCTAATTAGTTGTGATACTACTTCGTAATTGGTTGGTTACGTAGTTATTCGGCAACTTTGTCTCGATATTGGAACTTTATGATGTAAATTATTGGATATTTACAGATGACTCCATTATTTTATACTTATTTAGACATAAAGGGTGTTTTTGAAATAAGTAGCAAGCTTTCAAGGGTGCTAATTAGCTACAATTAAAAATCGCGCGGTGAGTAAAGTAGCGTAGTTACGGAACAAAAAAATTTGTAAGAAAACTAGTCCGAAGCCGATCCTGGACGTGAATCCGTAAGGAGCAAAGAAATTAAGCAGCTACATCAATGGAGAATGTAAACAGTGACGGTTGTGGAACGACTAATAAAATACATCTCAACAGCTTACTACTACGCCACTACACACAATAATGTTTGAAATAGAATAAAAGATAAAATAGAATAGGTACAACACGGATGATGCTAATAAGGAGCAGATTGAATGCGACGTTGCATTGTCGTATTTTTCTGCCTGAAGTTTGAAATACGTTTTTTCTCGAAAACGGTGAACTTTCGGACTACCAAACATTTATTTAATATTCTTGTTTTATAATCTCTTACCACCTCCTGTAAGTTTGCTACTTATTTTAGATTTACCTTGTATAATGAACGTAAAAGAAAATTAAACTAAGCTCATAAAAATAATAAAAATCACCTATTTGTTATTACTGCATTTTTAAGTTTCCAATATACTACATTTCTCATTTTTTACTGTCCCCAACTTTATTTTTTACGTAAATTGTCAATGTGCCCAAATGATTGAATTAATACTAACACGTAGAAAGACGCGATTTTGTACTACCTATAGTAAATACTGTTATTATTTATGTTGGAATTGAAACTTTTAAATTTACCTACAGATTGGAAAAACTGCAAAGAAGAGGCTATTTCATGCAAACGCCATAAACAATTCTCTCAACTCCAGTTTTTCAAGTCTTCAGAAAAACCGTAGCAATGCAACGACTTTGGAGAGAAAACACTCCAACTCACCAAATATTGGATACCAGAAAGATCTGCTAAAAGCCCAACTGGAACAGAGGATACTTGAAGATCATGATGTTAATCTTAAAAACAAACGAGAAATGGTCGAAGATGACCTGAAGAAGATCAACAACAGAATGCAAAAATCGGAAAACAAACTTCAGAAATTCGGAATTCGAGTTCTTCCACCCGAAATAAGTCCACATAGTAAAGAGCAAGTGAGTCCTAAAACGACTGAAAACTCTCAAAACGACAATAATGCCAATTTAGAACGAAATTCACTTTTAAACAGCGTGATGAGTGAATATGATAGATTGAGTATTGATGAAGTGGACAAAAGAGAAAAGAAGACAGTTCAAGAAGTAAAACAACAAGAAACGCCAGAACATTCAATAGTGCAAGTTGACGAAAACAAAGACATTTCAAATTTTGACCGAAGTCCTAATCAGTCTAGTGTTAGACGGGACGAAAACGGCATTCCCCAAGAAATACCGAGTCACATGCATAACGTAGCAATGGCAGCTAAAAGAAACCGTAAATCATCAACCGATAAAATGATTGATGAACTCGACGGATCAAAAACACCCAAAAAATCAAAAGGTCGCGCTCCTGCTCCTCCAGAAGAAAACAGCCTTTCCATCAATACAAATATAGAAAATGGTGAACCCGAATGCGTAAGATCACACAAAGAAGTTGGCGGTACAGAGGGCAAGACATACCCAGAAAAGCATCCTGATGAAATATTCAAACACTGCAGCCCTAAATATAATAAAAGTCATAACCAGCATTCAAATTCAGGTCCTAAAGAAAATGGTAAACCCACAATTAATAATTTAAACGAAAATGGAATTTCTGGTTACGCGTTGGACTCAGATGCAGAGAGTGATAATCAGTCGTCTGTAAACACCATAGCTCTGAATTCTAGTGACATCACGATTCATCATATTGAAGATAACGAAGAAATTCAAAATCGTAGAACGGCTAGTACAGGGGATTTGTCAAAACTACAGAGAGCCAAAAAGGGAGGCGGAAGTACATTAGAAAGGGCTCAAAGTTTAGACATCGCCGATACAGGAATTACATTGCCAAAAAAGCATAAATCGGACAATTTGGAAATGACTGGATCTGACGAGAGTGTTTATGAAAAATACATGATGTATAAAGAACCGAGACTATCGCTCGTCTTAGATGGGCTTAATACATTTCAGAGAAGTCGGCTAAAGAAATCAACAGAATGGGGAAATTTGGAGGATGCAATTTTAAATTTGGACAAAGACACAAACAGCGAAGAAAGTAAACCACCTTCGTATGAAAATTCAAGCTCCAGAGAATTCGACGCTCTCGTGAATAAAATAAACGAAATTAAAAACGAAGACGTAAAAGACGTAGAAAACGAGATGGTTAATGACATTGCCAAAAAGGACGTCCTTCATAAAACTTATAACGACCTAACAGAGATTATGAACGACGAGAAATCCAACATAATGGAAGAATTAAGTAAACAACATTCCGACCGCATTATTTTAAAAAATCTGTCACCTTATGACGACATATCTGTACTAAAGGACATGGAAAACGCCCCTTCAAGCATAGATGACACTTCACTTGAAAATGTCGAATTAAAAATATTACCTGAAGAACCCTTACTGATGGAAACTACTGCTGCAAACCCAAAAGCAGTACTAACAGCAACAAGTCCTCCACCAGAAGATTTATTGGAAACCAACGGAATAACAACCAGTGAGATTGAAATGTACCTTTCCGAAGACAATGCGGATCAGAAAGCAGAAGCACCAAAAAGGAAATCCAGAAATCAAATTTGGCCAACTTTTGAAACCCAAACTGAAAAACCAACCATACCACCGCGAAAACCAGAGCCACCTCTTCGTAGACCCGAACCACATCTTCGAGAAAAACATCGACATCCTGAGGTAGAAAGTGCCGAAAAGAAAAATGAAAATATTATAACAGTTACTAAGGTGGAAGTTACGGCTGTCGAGGAACCACAAATTATTACAAATTTAACTGAACTGGACATACCAACTACTGAATCAGAAGCCAAAAAATGTCAAACAACCACTACAATAACTCTCAATTCGGGAGTAAACGTTTCTAAACCCATTTTGGGTAATGAAGAACCAGCGGTACCATCACCATCTGATAAAAGCAGAGTGCAAATTTCTTCACGGTTCTTCAAACCGAAATTAATGAAAGAATTTTCTGAAAATTTAATAATAGCTGAAAGATTATTCGGTTTGAACGATCCTTTTTATAATTCGATGGATTCATCTAGCCTCGACCTGAACGTTTCAGATGACATGAAAGTCTCTAGACATTCCTTAGGAAACTTGCAAACTGAAGCAACGGCTTTACCTTTAGAAAAATCCAGTAAACAATTTGAAAATAATATCAGTAGCATTATGATAGAGTCTCCATATCAAACTAGCGTAATAGATCAATTAAGTGCTTCTTCTAGTCTACCTATTAACGAAAACTACGTAGCTGATTCTGATGCAAGTATGAATAACACAACATCATTATATACCACTGCTTTGGATCAAACGCTTACACAGGCAAATGAATCATTAAAAACAGTGAGCGAGGTGGAAGTAGAAGAGGAAGACAAAAACGTACCGGTAACAACTCCAGATATCATAAAAAACATCACGTTAACAGAAGTAATTAATACAGTTAACACACAAATGAGCTTACTAGATAACAAGCCTAAGTCACTAAAGTTACAAGTGGTAGGGGATTCCGAATCGGATGAAAATAATAAAAATGTTGCTAAAAAATTGATTTATGAAGAAACTCCAGTGGACAAAAATTCAACTGTTAACATTACCGACAGCTCAGATTCTAATGATTCCTTGACATTCGTAACAGAAATTCGAGTATCTCCAAATGCATCAGTTAGTAGTAACATATCAGATACAGACACTTATTCTATTTCACCAGAAGATCCTTCTCACAAAAATCTCGAAAACAAATTTGAAAGTTACGTGAAAAACTTCGAAACTAACAGAAAAATGTTCGGCTCCCCGGTTAACAGTACAACGCACTACAAAACTGAATCTCGAATACCATCAAAAATAACATCAAACAGTGATAAGAACCAGCCAGAAAAGGACCTTCAAAAAATACACGAAATTGTTGAAGAACAACTGAAAAAACTCCCAGAAATGAGATTTTCAACGTCCAGTTACGAATCGACATCAAAAATTCCCGAAAAACGATCGTCTCATATTGAACAAATTAGATCAAACTTTGAAAAAAATTCAAATGACAAAAGTCCAACAAAACCAAAGGCGGAGGGAGTTAAATCGCGAATACCAGTGGCAACACAAAAAACACCCCCAACATCTCCTGAACGTAGAGATTCTAGGCCAGATTCGGAAATAAACTCGGACATTCTCGAACTTATGTCTTCCAAAGTGCATTCAACTCCTGTGTGTAGCAATCTTCGGTACCAACCCAAAATTCCAACAAAAAATGTCACGGTGACTTCCATTCGCGGTAATTCCAAGATACCTTCGGGAATACCCGGTCGACCACCTATACCAACTAGGAAACCTGAAAATTTAGAAGCACAATCCAACGGGAACGGTGAGAGCAGCTTTAAACAATGGGTATTCACCCAATCTGAATCTGCCGTTACCAATATAATCGTTGACAATTTTAAACCGGAACAAAAATGAATGAATGAATAGGTATATGTATACGTATACTTTGTTAACACTTTATTGTTACCTAACAAAAGAGATAAAAGTTGTAATTAATTAAATTTACACCAGAGCAATGGTATTTTGAAAGACGTTTGATGAGAAAGAACAGAAAGAAGAAAAAACGCAATCATTTTATATGTATGTAGTCTAAATGTTGAAAAACATATCACAGTCAACCTGATTATATTTTGGTACACAGAGTTTAGAGAATAAAAAGGCTTTAGCATTTCAATTTTTCGGGATGTTGTATACAAGAGGGTTGTGTGCCATATGCAATACTGTAAATATTTGAATACCTTTATTTAGACTGTTTAAATAGGAACAAATTTTAATTTTGTGTTGTTTTTAGTACGAATATAATTTATCGAAAAGTTTTGCTGAAAACGATTAAGTGTACCTATATGTTAACAAAAAATTAAATTTTATTTGTAAGAAAATTAAAATGTATATTTAGTATATCTTCCATTTTAAGATATTTTTCGTTAGCAAGAGCACAAAATGCAATTATAATGTTTTGCATTGTTATTAATTAACCAATTACATTTTCTTTTATATTGTGGAATGGAATTCTTATAGATAGATTTACGAATAAGTGTTGGAGGAATTGTTATTATTTATACTTATAATAATTTAACTGTAT